GGGGCCTCCGGATAATCTTCATAATGTGTCAGTTGCAAATCAAGTGCCTATCTCCATAATAAGTAACCCACTGTACCAACCTGGATTCAGTCCAAGCATTAACCTCCCCACTATCCCCAGCACCTCCACTTCAAGTCCTCCAGCCGCACCCTTCAGAAATGACCCACATACCGTACCCATTGTCCCTGCTTTCACCATCCCTCAACCGGCTCTCGCTCAAAAGCTCAACAATGATCCACAATTGAATGATCATGACACCCAGCATTACTCTCCAGAACTGACTTTCAAGGTTCCAGATTCATACAAGCATACTCCTCAGTACGTGTCCCCAGTCGACATCGAAAAGCCCAATAAGAATATGGAACAAGAGGAAATGACCAGAAAAATGAAGAGTTTGGAACAAACCATGAGAAACATACAGGGTTTGGGAGGCCACAAGAGTGTTTCGTTCAATGATTTATGCATGTTCCCCCATGTTCATTTGCTACCTGGATTCAAGACCCCTAAGTTTGACAAGTATGATGGTCACGGTGATCATGTGGCCCACTTGAAGAGATACTGTAACCAATTGAGGGGAGCAGGGGGCAAAGAAGAATTACTCATGGCTTATTTTGGGGAAAGCTTGACGGGAATTGCTTCAGAGTGGTTCATAGATCAAGACATCTCTCACTGGCACGTTTGGAATGACATGGCTCAAGATTTTGTCCAACAATTTCAGTACAATATTGATATTGTGCCAGATCGCTCCTCTCTTATCAACATAAAGAAGAAACCAACAGAAAGCTTCAGAGAATAGGCTAGGGTCAAACCGCCAATGAAAGAGGCAGAAATGATTGACTACTTTCTCCAAGCTCAGGATCCTGATTACCTCCATTATATGTTGGCCGCCATTGGTAAGCCTTTTGCTGAAGCGATTAAGATTGGGGAAATAGTTGAGAATGGCATGAAGTCGGGCAAAATGGTGAGTCAGGCAGCCCTTAAAGCAACCACGCAAGCAATTCAAAGCGGGTCAGGCAGTTTCGGAAATCGAAAGAAGAAGGATGAAGGATCCATGATGGCATCTGGATTCGGGGAAGTTCAAAGAGGAATAGTTCCTTCATACGTGCAATTTCAACAAGGACAATCCGATTCTCCTCAACATTATTATCCGCCTCAGGGTCCTCGATACTCAGTTCCCTCGCAACAATACATAGTGTTTAATGCTCAGGCTTATGCTAGGCCTCCCAATCACCAACAATGGCGAGCACCGATTCCACAAGGCGCCCGGCCGAATTTTCAGGCGCCATATAATCCTCGTCCCAGACAGGAATATGTTAGAGAACAGGATCCAAAGAAAGAGTTCACCCCAATTGGAGAATCGTACACAAGCCTATTTCGAAAGTTGATGCAGCTGAAATTGATTGAACCTATCATGCCACGTTATGTGAATCCAAATTCAAAGGGTTTTGACTCTAACGCAAGATGTGAGTATCATTCTAACACCCAAGGTCATAGTACCGAAAATTGTTGGACATTAAAGAAAGCCATTGAAAATTTGATTGAAGCAAAGGCAATTGTGGTGACAAACAATGAAGATACTCCTAATATCACAAACAATCCGCTCCCAGCTCATGATAATACACACTTTATTGGGATGATTGGTGATGATCGTGACTATAAACAATCTAGAAAGACAGAGATGATTGTTGGAACCATAGGGCCAGAGCCAAAAGTGATAGTACGCCCGCCGCAATTGGCACCACTTATTGTGAAAGGTGCAAGTTCTAGTTCAAACTTGGCAGGTTCTGAAAAAATGGTTCTCTATGTCCCTGGAAGCACAAAAAAGATTGAGGTTCAATTGGGTGGGCCAAGACTTTATATCCCTGGGGGCATTCAAAAGATTGTTCCAAATAATGCCTTAAGAAATATAACAGAGCCGGTTGTGATCCGACCTGTTGCACAACTTCCAGTGTCAAACCCAAAAGCTATTCCCTGGAACTATAACAAGACTGTCATGACATACAAAGGAAATGAGATAGTGGAAGAAATAGATGAAATGGCAGGCTGGACTCGCTCTGGAAGGCGCTACTCGCCAGAGGAGTTGAGAAAAGTTAAGCAAGCCAAGGAAAATCACTTTCCAGTGAAAGAAGCTGTTTCAGAAAAAGAAACGAAGGATTTCCTTAAAAAGGTGAAAATGCAAGACTACTCATTCATTGATCAACTAAGGAAAACCCCTGCTCAGATATCTTTGTTATCTCTGCTTTTGCACTCAGAAGAACATCGCCGTGTGTTGATCAAAACTTTGAATGAGGCATATGTCCCAGAAAAGACAACGGTGAATCAGTTAGAAAAAATGGCTGAAAGATTCTTTGAGGTGAACAAAATTTCTTTCAGCGATGACGATTTGCCTGAGGAAGGGGCTGGGCACAATAAAGCTTTGCATCTCATGGTCAAATGTGAAGGCCATTACGTAAAAGGGGTCATGATTGACGGAGGTTCAAGTGTAGATGTATGTCCTCTTTCTATTCTACAACAACTGAACATTGACTCTAACAGAATTCGGACTAGTAATGCCCGCATCAGAGCTTTTGATGGGTCAAAAAGAGATACTATTGGGGAAATTGAACTCACTATGACAATTGGCCCAGTTAATTTTAACATTGTCTTTCAAGTTTTGGATATGAAAACCTCCTATAACTTTCTTCTGGGAAGGCCGTGGATCCATATGGCCAGAGCTATACCATCCACCCTACATCAAAATGGTCAAATTCGAATTTGACGGGCAAGAAATTGTTGTTCATGGGGAGGACGAGTCCTTCATCTATAATGACCCGTCTATTCCATGTATCGAGGCCAAGGAAGGATGTGAATCCCTCATATATCAAACATTTGAGGTAATTGAGGTAGACCAAGTGGAAGAAGGAAAACCAATTCTACAACCCCATCTTTCAGCCACATCTATGATGGTAGCCTCATTGATGTTGAGAAATGGCTATGAACCAGGAAAAGGATCAGGATCATTTCTGCAAGGAATTGTGAACCCCATCGCTCCCTTTTTGAAGAAAGATACCTTTGGCTTGGGTTTTAAACCAACATCGGCTGACATAAACAGAGCCAAGGCCCGGCAAAAGAATGATTGGAAATTGTCAAAACCAATCCCTCACATTGCCTACTCTTTTGTCAAGCCACAATTTAAAGAAGTCCAAAATCCTTCTACTCATGATGACATTGATGAAGTTTGTCAAGGTCTCAAGGATATGTTCTATGGAATCAACATGGTTCAAGTCGGTGAGGGCCCTAGCCGTGCAAGTGTTCAGCTTATTGGTCCAGATACCTCGCTTAATAACTGGGAAGCAACTCCTCTACCCATCAGGAAGGAGTCTTGGTAGTCTGTTTTGTTGCTTTTTCTGTATTTGGATGATTTTTAGGGTTGTAATCCAGATATTTTTGTTTAATTGCTTTGCTTTGATGTTAACCCTTCTATCCTTTCAAATTCAATAAAATGAAGTTCCAGTTTCCTAGTAGAATTCTGTCTTTTCCTTTCCCTAATTTTGTTAATTTCTCATCATTGTCAGTTTCGCTGGCTTTAAAAGCATGACATGCACGCGGAATTCATGCCCAGATCTTAAAAAGTTGTCTAATCTCGAAATAATGAATCAAGAAGTTGAGTATGATGAAGATGAGGCCTTTAAGGAAATAAAAAGGGAATTGGATCAATTTGAGAATAAGCCTAAGCCTAACTTAAATGAAACTGAGGCAATTAACCTCACTCCGAATAATTGTTGAAGCGGGGATTGAGGACACTGAATGGGTGAAGTCCCGGTTGGAACAGTTGAGTATGATTGATGAAAAGCGTCTGGCAGCAGTTTGTTTTGGTCAGTTATACCAACAAAGAATGGCACGCGCATACAATAAGAAAGTGCGCCCACGAAAATTTGAAAATTTGAAACGCATCTTCCCACACCAGGAAGAAGCAAAAGGAAAGTTCGCTCCAAATTGGCAAGGTCCTTACCTTGTCAAGAAAATATTGTCGAAAGGAGCTCTACACTTGACAGATATAGAAGGAAAGGTGACAAACATATCCGTCAATGCAGATGCGGTCAAGAGATACTATGTCTGACATGCTCCTGTCGGGGCATTTGGTTTATACTTAGCATTCTCAGGTTGGGATGACGAAAGGCTATCATTCTCGTTACCCAAACACTGGTCAACCCTAGTTAGCCCTTTGAAGCCTTGTTTATATTTCTTTGTTTTACCCTCTTTTGGAACCCAAAAAAAAAAAAAAAAAAAAAAAAAAAAAAAAAAAAAACAATCAAAAAAAAAAGAAGAAAAGAAAATCAAAAACAGAGTTTTCTGAACTACGTTCGACTTGATTCCGAAAGGATACGTAGGCAGCCTCTCTCTGAGGTTCAGTCACACCAAACAAAAATCCACATGTCCCCAATATTCAAAGAAACTGGGGCATTTTTTTTTGGTTGTTCCATCAAATGGTTCTAGAAGTTGTAATTCAGTTGGGTATTTCTTTTTACCTTTCCCTTTTAAGACCTTCTGATCAGCTTTTGAGAATGCTAAGTCAGTATACTGCGGGTGACGCTTCAACCATTGCAAAAAGAGAAAAACAAAAGAGAGAGTCTTATTGGTGAAAACCCACAAGGGCACTATAAGGCGATGTCGAGTTGAGAAAACAAATGAGAGAGTCTTACTGATGAAAACCCTCACGGGCACTATAAGGCGATAGTGAGTTGAGAAAAAGGCAAATGAGAGAGGTCAATTGGTGAAAACCCACAAAGGGCATCGTTGATCGATTTTCGGTCTTCTTATATCCCGGCACAAGCATAGTTAAAGAACTCAGTTTCAAATGGAAGTTTACAACAAATTTTGAGAATTAGATGGTTTAGACGGATCGGGTGTCCAGTCCAAAGTGCATGTCATGTTCCTTGAAGTCAGCGTATTCCTCCAGATAAGTCCTTTCTTATTCTTCCCTTGAAAGGGACGCTTCTTGATTAAGTTGTAGTGCTAGTTAGTTCACCTACTTTCTTTCTTTCGTACTATTATTCTGAGTCCCTTTCCGTTTAATTTTGTCAAAGCAAAGCAAAGAAAAAGCCACAAAATTAGTTACAGTTTCCCTGTTATATGAAGCAAAAATTTTCTGGGCATAAACAGTATGGGCAAAGCCATAAAGCCAGCTTTGATGTTCCTTCACAATCAAAAGGGCTTGAAGGACTTAGCAGTGTTTCAAGTGTAACAAAGGTTACTCATCAAAAGTTGTTCCAGGGAACAAAAGTTGTTTGTACCATAGACACGAATGGTGATAGGCACAAAATAGTCAGGCGTTGATGTTGAAAAAGAAAAAAAGAGATCTTCAGAAAATAAGGTCAGAATCTCCCGGCAATTTGTACGATCATCGACAAGGTCGATAAGTGAAATGGATGCAAGGTCAAGTCGCCCAAGAAGTCAAGGCCACAAACTGACCACTGTTTTAAAACTAACGAATCGTTCTTTGTTTAGAACAGGAACAAAATCGTTTAGTGAAACAGTTTGTGAAAAGATGAACACCACCAAGTGGAGTCATCAAACCCATGATTTCCTTCCAATATACACGTAAGCAAGTTATTTTTAGTTTCATTATAAGGAATCATCCCCATGTTGTCAACACAGGGCACAACATCCCCTGGTTGCATTATTTCCTACATAGGGTACAACATCCCCTAGTAGTATTTCAGAGCACCACGAGCCTCATCTTGCTGTCAACACAGGGTACAACATCCCCTGGTTGCATTATTTCCTACATAGGGTACAACATCCCCTAGTAGCATTTCAGAGCGCCACGAGCCTCATCTTGCTGTCAACACAAGGTACAACATCCCCTGGTTGCATCATTTTCTACATAGGGTACAACATCCCCTAGTAGCATTTCAGAGTGCCACGAGCCACATCTTGCTGTCAACACAGGGTACAATATCCCCTGGTTGCATTATTTCCTACATAGGGTACAACATCCCCTAGTAGCATTTCAGAGCGCCACGAGCCTCATCTTGCTATCAACACAGGGTACAACATCCCCTGGTTGCATCATTTTCTACATTGGTTACAACATCCCCTAGTAGCATTTCAGAGTGCCACGAGCCTCATCTTGTTGTCAACACAGGGTA